TCTACTCCACCTCCGCTGTGAAAGGCGGAGGACCTCGAGTCGGTGCAGGCGTGTGAACAGCGTCTACTCACACCTCCAGCTGTGAACAGGCGGAGGACCTCGAGTCGGTGCAGGCGTGTGAACAGCGTCTACTCACACCTCCAGCTGTGAACAGGCGGAGGACCTCGAGTCGGTGCAGACGCCAATGACGATCGTCGACCCCGAGATGGGTGTTCGTGTTGGCCAGACGACTCTACGCTGTCGTCACGTCACGTCGATCGCAGGCTGTGGCTGCTCTGGGCGCTGTAGGCGTGTGGCCAAAAGACGCGCCCGATGCAGAGGAGCTCGTCGAGCTCACTTTCGATGGCGCGCGCTGCGTCGCCGTCAACGGGAAGCGGCTCTCCCCGCTGGAGGTGATCTCGCTCGCGAACACTATCTCCCCATCTCTCCCCATCTCTCCCCATCTCTCCCCATCTCTCCCCATCTCTCCCCGCTGGAGGTGATCTCGCTCGCGAACACTATCTCCCCATCTCTCCCCATCTCTCCCCATCTCTCCCCCTCTCTCCCCATCTCTCCCCCTCTCTCCCCATCTCTCCCCATCTCTCCCCATCTCTCCCCATCTCTCCCCGCTGGAGGTGATCTCGCTCGCGAACACTATCTCCCCATCTCTCCCCATCTCTCCCCATCTCTCCCCATCTCTCCCCATCTCTCCCCGCTGGAGGTGATCTCGCTCGCGAACACTATCTCCCCATCTCTCCCCGCTGGAGGTGATCTCGCTCGCGAACACTATCTCCCCATCTCTCCCCATCTCTCCCCATCTCTCCCCATCTCTCCCCGCTCGAGGTGATCTCGCTCGCAAACACTATCTCCCCATCTCTCCCCATCTCTCCCCATCTCTCCCCATATCTCCCCATATCTCCCCATATCTCCCCATATCTCCCCGCTCGAGGTGATCTCGCTCGCGAACACGATCGGAGGACGCAACGGCCTCGGCATCTCGCACGCGCTCGAGAACCGGATCATCGGCACCAAGTCGCGCGGCGTATACGAGGCGCCCGGCATGGAGCTGCTCGGCCGCGCGCTCGAGTACCTCTACCAGGCCGCCCCCCTCTCCCCTCCCCTCCTCCTCTCCTCTCCTCTCCTCTCCCCTCCCCTCCCCTCCCCTCCTCTCCTCTCCTCTCCCCTCCCCTCCCCTCCCCCCCTCCCCTCCCCTCCTCTCCCCTACCCTCTACCCAGCCGTCCTCGACCGAGCGGCGACCTACCCTCCCGGAACCTTCCCGGAACCTTCCTGGAACCCTCCCGGAGCCTTCCCCACAGGCGGTCCTCGACAGACGGGCGGCGGCGCTCTTCGCGCACCTCTCCTCCCTCGTCTCGAACCAGATCTACGACGGCCGCTGGTTCGACCCGGCGACGGTCGCGGCCC